GGGGTGCCTGGGTGGCTCAGTCAGTTAAGTATCTGACTCTTGATTTTGGCTCAGGCCATGATCTTGGGGTTAGTGAGTTCAAGCCCAGCATCAGGCTCTGTGCTGACAGTGAGAGCCTGCTTTGAATTCTCTCTACCTTTCTCTCTGTCCCTCCCCCACGTGTGGTGTCCGTTAAAAATAAAATAAACATTAAAGAGAAAACAGTATTGTTATGACAGTTTGTCTTTTGGACAGTTTTTTTTAAAAAAATAAATATTGTTTGTCATTAGTTACAGTATTATTTTTCATAGTAAGAGATGGGTATGGTTAGATTGTGGTAATTACAAAGCTCTCCATATAAAGATGTCCTCCAAAATATTTTAAGTATAAAAAGCAAGTGCAAAGCAGTGTACATATGCTTCCATTTACGTAAAAAACAAAAGGATGTTGAAAAGAATAAATGTACACATTTCCCTTCCCCCACTTGTATGCGTGTCCATGGTCTCTCATAAAAAAATGAATAAACTTAAAAAATTTTTTAAAGAAAATAACATTTTGTAAACTATTTTGGTCATGTGTTAATACAGCATTAACTTCTTTTTGCTTAATTTGATTCATCTCCTGGGTTTTTAAAAAAACACTGTTAGATTTTTTATTTTAATTCCAGTATAGTTAACATGCAGCATTATATTAATTTCAGGTGTAAAATATAGTGATTCAGCAGTTCTGTACATTACTCAGTACTCATCATGATAAGTGTACTCTTTTTGTAAAAAATTTTTTAATGTTTATTTATTTTGGGGAGAGAAAGAGAGACAGAGACACAGCACGAGCAGGGGAGGGGATTGAGAGAGGGAAACACAGAATCTGAAGCAGGTTCTGGGCTCTGAGCTGTCAACATACAGCCCAACGTGGGGCTTGAACCTATGAGCAGTGAGATTATAACCTGAGCAGAAGTCAGATGCCCATCCAACTGAGCCACTCAGATGCCCCGATAAGTGTAGTTTTAATAGTCTTATCTATTTCACCTATCCCCCTATCCGCCTCCACTCTGGAAACATCAGTTTGTTCTTTATAGTTAAGAGTCTTTTTCTTGGTTTGTTTCTTTCTCTGTCTCTCTTTTTTTCCCCCCTTGTTTTGTTTCTTAAATTCCATATGAGTTAAATCATACGATATTTGTCTTTCTCTGACTAACTTATTTTACTTAACATTATACTCTCTAGCTCCATCCATGTCATTGCAAATGGCAAGATTTCATTATTTTTATGGCTGAATGATATTTCATTGTATGTATGTGTGTGTGTGTATTACATCTTTATCCATTCATCTTTTGATGGATGCTTGGGCTGCTTCCATTATTTGGCTATTGTAAATAGTGTTGCAATAAACATAAGAGTGAATATATCCTTTCAAATTAGTGTTTTTGTATTCTTTCGGTAAATACCCAGTAGTGCGATTACTGAATCATAGGGTAGTTCAATTTTTAATTTTTTGAGGAACCTCCATACTGGTTTCCACAGATGGCTGTACCAGTTTGCATTCCCACCGTCAGTGCGCAAGGGTTGCTTTTTCTCCACATCCTCACCAACACTTGTTTCTTCTGTAGCCTCCTGTTTTAATGTACAAAATAGAATTAAGACACTGTATTTCTTGCCATCTTTCTCCAGACTTGGTATCCTTTTGGAAGTAGGCTAAGAAATTCTTTTGAGTCATTCATAGAAGTTTATCCAAAGAAGACCTACAGATGGCCAACAGACACATAGAAAGATGTTTAGCATCAGTACTCATCATGGGAAAATCAAAACCACAATGAGCTATATCACCTCACACTAGTCAGAATGGCTAGGATCAAAAAGACAAGAAATAACAAGTGTTGGCAAAGATAGGGAGAAAGGGGAACCCTTGGATACTGTTGATGGGAGTGTAAATTGGTGCAGCCAGTATGGAAAACACTATAGAGTTTCCTTAAAAAATTAAAAAAAGAAGTACCATATGATCCAGTAATTCCATCACTTAGGTATTTAGGCAAAGAAAACAAAAATACTAATTTGAAAGATAAATGCACCTTTATGTTTATTGCAGCATTATTTACTGTAGTCAAGATATGGAAGCAACCCAATTGTCCCTTGATAGATAAATATGATAAATATATGAAGAAGACACACACACACACACACACACACACACACAGGAATATTACTCAGCCGTAATAAAGAATGAAATCCTGTCATTTGTGGTAACATAGATGGACCTAGAGGATATTATATTAAGTGAAATGAATCAGAGAATCAGACAGAGAAAGACAAATACCATATGATTTCACTTATATGTGGAACCTGAAAAACAAAGCAAAACCAGAAACCAACTCATAAATATCATCAATACATAGAACAAATATGGTTGCCAGAGGGGAAATATGGGAGAATGGACCAAATGTGTTAAGGTGATTAAGAGATACAAACTTCCATTTAGAAAATAAATAAGTCACAAGGATGAAAGGTATAGCATAGAGCATATAGTCAATAATATTATAATAACTAGGAGCACCTGGTCGCTCAGTTGGTTAGGGGTCTGACTCCAGCTTAGGTCATGATCTCACAGTTCGTGGGTTCGAGCCCCTCATTGGGCTCTGTGTTGACAGCTCAGAGTCTGGAGCCTGCTTTGGGTTCTGTATCTCCCTCTCTCTCTGTCCCTCCCCTGCTCGTCCTCTGTCTGTCTGTCTCTCTAGAATAAATAAATATTAAAAAATAATAATAATACTGTAATAACTGTATGATGAAGATGGTAACTACTCTTACCATGGCGAGCATCACATATTGTATAGAATTTTTGAATACCATGTCGTACATCTGAAACTAATATGACATTGCATGTCAGCTATACTTCAGTTAAAAAGAATTCCCATCTATATGCAAGCTTAAGATTCTTACAGAGGAATTTCTTTTTTTTTTTTTAAGTTTATTTATTTATTTTATGAAAGAGAGAAAGAGAGAGCATGCATGCTTATGGTAGTGGGGGGAGGGGCAGAGAGAGGAAAGGGAGAATCCCAAGCAGGCTTTGTGCTGTCAGTGCAGAGTCCAGTGCGGGGCTTGATCCCACAAACTATGAGATCATGACCAGAGCTGAAATCAAGAGTCAGTCACTCAACTGACTGAGCTATGCAGGTGCCCCCTTAGAGGAGAATTTCTTATTGACATTGACAACAGAGAGAGCTCTAGCTACAAGGATTTTCAGGAGAAAAAATCAATCACTGCCTACATGAAAGAATTTTTTTGTTTGTTTAATTTTTTTTCTCATAGACTTTATGGCCAATGTGAATCTACTTTCATAATAGCCAAAATTTAAGTGTTCAAATAAAAAGAATATAAGGATATAGTTGTAAGGAGATGTAAAGATGCCTAAGATCTGGCTCTTATTAACTCGGCTGTCATAATAGAGTTAGCATATGTTGTGAAAAAGATGACCTTAACTGCTGTCATGGTAATAGAGAATGCTCTGAAAGTTTTTAAAGGAGCCCACAAACTCCCTTAATGTCCTCAAATCTTGGCAAGATAGAGAAAATCTTCACATTCAGGGATACAAAGCTTTATAACCTCAAATATGGTCCCGTGGTTTATACCTTCCCTTTAGGAATGTCTCTCTAGATGTGTCTGGATACCAACCATGCATTAAACTCTGGCCCAACTCTAGACCATCACCCTTCACTTTATTCTCCAAAACCTTGCCACGACCAGGCTCTGATACTTGAACACAGGAAGGAAATACACAAAAAATTATCAACTGCATAGTCTAACTCACTTGCTGTAGCTTTGACCTCTAGGTCCTGTAGGCTCTGTCTCATCTTCACAGAATCTTGGAAGAGAAGGAGCTTGGTTCTGTAGAGCTGCCTGCATGACCTCTGTCCTTCTCTACCAACATGCACTTCCAAGCATGGCTTGACTCTGAAATCCAAGGCTGAGAAGAAGAAAATATTCCTTTTCTTTTTAAACTAAAGCCATCTTTCAGTTTCCCACCTGTTAGTTCATGATGGATTCTTTCTAGATAATTGTGGAGACCCTACCCTCTGCCCACTGGAGTATTTTGGCCCCAACACAATAACCACATCAAAATACAGTTCATTAAGATGAGCATTTTTACATAAAATAGAATCAAGACAAAATTTGCTTAAAGACCTTAAATATCATGAGCAAAGATTACTGATATTTTATTGATTACTCTTTTTTTTTAATTTAATGTTTATTTTGGGGGGAGAGAGAGAGAGAATGGGGGAGAGGCTGAGAGAGGGAGACACAGAATCCAAAACAGGTTCCAGACTCCCGAGGCAGGGCTTGAACTTGGGAATGGCAAGATCATGAGCTAGGCCAAAGTCAGACACCCAACTGACTGAGCCACCCAGGCATTTATCTACTTAGGAGGATACAGCCCAGGAAGGGGGCAGGGCCAGTCATCCCTTTTCAGTGGAGTAGTCCTCATAGGAGTGGGTAAGCAGTCTGAAGGTTTTCTGACTTTCACCTCCTTCCCCTTCCCCAGCCCCCTCCAAGTCACAGTTCAGGTACAGGGAAACAACATCCACATTGTGCAGAGAAGGGAGCCACCGTGGATTAGAAGCCTTATATAGCACAATTGCCAGTATCTCCCATAGAAGCTTTATTGGTATAGATTCCAGGGTCCCACAGGGACATACCTTGAGTCATCCCACTCAGAAGTCCAAAGCTATAGCTTCCCACCAGGTAATTGAGTGACTTTTTTATCATAAGCAATGTTGCCTAATAACACAGCTGACATTCACCTTATCAAGTTTCCAGGGCAAAAGAGATAGAAAGTTAATCCAAGGTCACACTTGTCTTTAGAGGAGATTTTGTTTACCTTTTATCCACAACTTCTCAAGAATATTTTTATAAAGATGACTGTGGTTTCAAATTTGCCTGAAATAAATGGCTTTGATGTAGCTTCATAATTTTCTGTCCTATATTGATAAATTTTAGCTTTTCTTCCTTTGATTGTTTTTCCTTTTTTGATAGGTCGAATCAAATATTCTGAACAGGTATATGATGCGTGTATGGAGACATTTGACTGTCTTCCTCTTGCTGCCCTCTTAAACCAGCAGTTCCTGTGTGTACACGGAGGGATGTCACCTGAAATTACTAGTTTAGATGACATCAGGAAAGTAAGTAATCTTTCATTAGTTTCGTGGAGTATATATATTCTTAGTTTAGGTTTGGTTTTTGTTTGTTTGCAGTCAGCTAATATGCCTCCTCTATCTCAAAAATTTTAAATACTGATAATCAAAAGTAAAAAAAATAGAAATCATCTATAATGTCATTACTGGGAGATAACTACTGTTAACATTTTGCTATATGTCTTCAGGAATTTTCTGTAAATTTTAATGAAATCTGTACTTTTGCCAAGTAGAAACATAACATATTTTGAGTACAGCCCTGAGACTTCAAATAAATTGTGTAGCAGTACAAAAGGAAGGACATCAGGGTTCTAATCCCTCTCCTGCAGTTAATTGTGTAGCCATGACCAAATCCCTTAACTCTTAGTCACATTTTCTTCTCTGGGAAGTAAGGAAGTTAGAATGGATGGTCTGAGGACTTCTAGCTCTGAAATTTCTTGACTTTGACATTTTAAATGATCGAGTTTAGATTGCTGTACTTGTGTGAGTTGGTGATTATTATTTTCACAACTTCTAAAAAGATGATCGATCCTGTTTCATTTCTGTTGTCTACATTACCATCTTCTTTTCTCTACCTTTGTATTCTTTTACCTGTCTGTGTAGGTACTGAAATTATCGATTTTTCTATTTCTTTTTTTTTTTTTTTTTAACAGATGTAAACTATTTATTGAATATTTGCCACCAAATATTGTTAAATACATTATCTTGCAGCATATCGCTTTCAAGTTAAAATGTCAAACAAACACCAATATTTACAATTCTTTTAAGGAATGTTATATAATGACACATTAAGGCGTAAATTCTTTTGGCTTATAATTCTTAAAAGAATGATAATAGCAAAAGTGATGCAAAATCTTCAGTGTGAGATTATGATTAAGCTACATTTTACAAAAATATGGTGTAAGATGGCAATAATCCCATTCAACATCCTGGATTAGATCCCTTCAGGAGGGACTGATAATTTATACAGTCAAACTTTAAAATTTACAGATAAAGGCAGTTCAATACTGCCACTGAGAAGTACATCTTTTAACATATACAACTTTCAGGCCACAGTTTTGAAGGTCTGAAGTATCAAGTTGGTTTGATGAATTAGTCGGTTGGCACTTATGAACACATTTATTGCCTTGCCATCTTTAAAATAGGTTTTCAGAGTATCACTGAAACTTTTGGAGTATTTTACAAATTCTTTCTTTTGGTGTTCAAGTGCCCTGCAGTTCTGGTGTTGGTACTTCTTGAAGACATTATTCACTGTATCAAGAAGTTCTTTTATTGCACTAGCTATATCCTTGATTGTCTGAAAAATATGGAACGCTTCACGAATTTGCGTGTCATCCTTGCGCAGGGGCCATGCTAATCTTCTCTGTATCGTTCCAATTTTAGTATATGTGCTGCCGAAGCGAGCACCGATTTTTCTATTTCTAAAACTTTTCTCTGAATTACAGTTACTGTCCTCAGGGTAAGAGGGTGTGCCTAGATCTCTGCCGCCTTACTGTCTTTAAAGTAACCAGAATTTCTCTTTTACATTGTAAGTCTTGAGGTTTGCAATTCTGAACCAATTGTATTAAGAAAATGCTCTCCTTTCGCTTTAGTAGAAGTCCTCAGCTCCTTTAGTTACTCCTTTTGTCTTGGTTTTTATGTTACTAACCAAAGCAGCAGTGACTAAAGGCTTAAATTAATAACTTACATTGAAATGCCTCCACTTCATAGAATGGAAAGGATGAAAGTCCTTTACAAAATAAAACTGGAAATCTCTGTTGGAATGAGGTAAACAATGAACAGAACCGTTCTAAAACATTTCCTACTCTGATGGTAACCTTAGCTTACCTAGGCAGTTGAAATAAACTTTCCATAGTCTTTCTCAATAATAGTATATCTCTATAGTGGTTGATTTCACATTCAAATTAAATGAGTACTGCTTTTAAGATTAGGATGTAAAGGAGTCCTTTTCTTAGATAACAGGGATATTTATAAAAATTTATTTAAAAACAAAAATAAAAATTGTATATCCAAATTTGTTAAATGTTCATTTTCTTCCTAAAGGAACAGTTCTTGAAGGGGCTTGCAGCCTTTTCTCTGAAGACATTCAGAGGTTTTGGCTTTTGACACATACCAGTTTCCAAAAGGTCTTTTGCTTTCATGATTTTTCTTCTTTTGGCTCTTGTGTGTCTTCTAGTTAGACAGGTTTAAAGAACCTCCTGCCTTTGGGCCAGTGTGTGACCTGCTTTGGTCTGATCCCTCAGAGGATTATGGCAGTGAGAAGACCTTGGAGCACTATACCCACAACACTGTCCGAGGGTGCTCTTATTTTTACAGGTAAGCTAGTGCTCAAAGTTTTGTTTTTTATATCTTTTTAAAAGAATTTTTTTTAAACATTTATTTATTTTAGAGAAAGAGACAGACAGGCAGAGTGGGGGCGGTGGGGAGACACAGAATCTGAAGCAGTCTCCAGGCTCCATGCTGTCATCACAGAGCCCGATGTGGGGCTTGAATTCAAAATCCTTGAGATCATGACCTGAGCCAAAGTCGAACACTTAACCAACTGAGCCACCCAGGCGCCCCAGTTTTTTATATCTTAATTGTGCTCTCATATAAGAGTACCCTCATGACACCTAAGTGTAATATACCGAACATGATCAAACAGAGTGTCTTGCAGGGCTTAAATGTTATTTTTAGACTCTGAATGATCTTGATTATTTGTTCCCAAACATCATCTATAAGCTTTCTTAAAAATAAAGGTTTGTTGACTCTTCCCCCAGAGATTCTGATTGAGTAGAGCTGAGACAGGAAAATCCTGTTATTTTTTAAAAGCTCTCTAACTTTTGGAACCACTGCTATAGGCAAAGATATAAAAAGAACAGGACATTGTGAACTAAGCCCAGGACATTTCCTGGAAGTTGACTGTTGTCTTAAATCTCACATGTGAGCTTTTATTGTGTTCTGCTATTCAAAAATAGGAAGATAGAGGGAGGTTTGAAGTCTAAATATTTTCAGTTCCAATATTTTACGGTGACAAGTAATGCATGTATGTAGTCCCCTTAAAAAAAATCTGTTAAGTGCCTAAGATAATACATTCATGAATTGAAAACTACATACAAAAAGTAAAGAGCCTCAAAATTGCCATAGTTTTAACATTCTTCTAAGCAACCTTGTCTTATTCCTTTATGAATCATTTAAATTTTACTTCTCTTGGGGCGTATAGGTGGCTCAGTTGGTTAAGTGTCCAGCTTCAGGTCATGATCTCGTGGTGTTTGAGTTCCACATGGCTTCCAGCTCAGAGCCTGGAGCCTGCTTTGAATTCTGTGTCTCCCTTTCTCTCTACCCCTCCCCCACCCATGCTCTGTCTCTTTCTCTCTCTTTCTCTCTTTCTCAAAAATAAATAAACATTAAATTTTTTTAACTTTTCTTTATATTGCTTAAAATAAATAGCATAGTTTCTTTTTTATTGTTTGTACAATATAAACCGGTACAATATCTTTGGAAATCAGCTTGACAGTATCTCTCAATTATAAATGCCTGGGGCCTTTGAACCAGAAATTCTACTTATAAAATGTAATCCTATAGCTATAAGTCAATCCTCGTTATTTATGAATTCTGAGCTGTAAATTTGCCTACTTACAGAGAATTATTTATAACCACAAAGTCACCACTCACAGAACTTTTGTGGCCATTCACAGACATGCACACATGCAGAGTGATGCAAAATTCAAGTCACCCCATGTGTGTTCCTAACTGAGGCTAACAAGGAGCTGCTCTGCCTTCTTGTTTCAACTTTCATACCGTAAGACTATCATTATACCATTCTTTCTGTGATCCATTTAGTGCAACAATTCTCACATTCTTTGTTGGCAATTTTGCTGTGTAAAATGGCCTCCAAGCATAGTGCTTAAGTGCTATCTAGCTTTTCTACGTATAAGAAGGCTGTGATGTGCCTTACAGAGAAAATACATGTAGGTTATATAAACCTAATTCAGAAAGGATTTGTGACATTGTTGTCCATGAGTTCCATGTTAATGCATCAACAGTATGTATTACTTAAGATGTCCTTCCACAGAAACACACATAAAACAAGGTTATATATTGATTGGTTAATGAATATGTGACCAGAGGCTCACAGGACCCTAACTATGTATTTTCTGTAGAAGCAGTGGTTCAATTTTGGCCAATCCAGTTTTTGCAACAACTTCATAGAACATAGTTACTGCAAATAACAAGAATCAATTATGTAAATGTGCAAATGTGTAAAATGTATGTACAGCTGACCCTTGAACAAGATGCATTTGAACTATGCAGGTCCACTTATACACGGATTTTTTTTTAAGTTTATTTATTTATTTTAAGAGAGAGAGGATGGACAAGGGACAGAGAAAAAGGGAGAATCCCAAGCAGGCTCTACGTTCCCACCTAGAGATCATGAGAGCCACGAGCTCATGACCTGAGCTGAAATTAGGTGTCAGACACTTAACTGACTGGGCCACCCAGGCACTCCTACATGGATTTTTAAATATAAATATAATATAGCACTATAAATGTATTTTTTCTTCCTTATGATATTCCTAACAACATTTTCTTTTCTCTAGCTTATTTCAGCATAAGAATACAGTATATGATACCTACAACATACAAAATATCTGTCAGTTGACTGTTGTGGGTAATGTTTCTGGTCAACAGGCCAGAAGTTAAGTTTTTGGGGAGTCAAAAGTTATATACACCAGGGATGTCTGGCTGGCTCAGTCCGTAGAGCCTGCGACTCTTGATCTCATGGTTGTGAGTTTAGGCCCCACATTGGGCATGGTGCCTACTTAAAAAGAGGTATACATGTGAAAAAAAGTTATACAGTTACTCAGCTATAAAAGTTACACAGGTTTTTGACTGTGTGAGAAGGCAGCACTCCCAGCATTATTCAGGGGTCAGTTCAAGGTTATTCAGTGCTGTATTATTATTATTTTTGAATGCTTATTTATTTATTTTGAGAGAGAAAGCATGAGTGGAGGAGGGACAGAGAGAGAGAGAATCTCAAGCAAGCTCCATCCCACGAATCTTGACGCTTAAGCCAGACGCTTAACCAACTGAGCTACCCAGGTGCCCCTCACTGCTGTATTATTTATGATAAAAGATTTAAAACAATCTAGATGTTCAATAGAAGACTAGTTAAATACCTTGTGGTATATTCAGTCAATGGAATGTGCCAGACTACACAATGAAGCTATTTTTAAAAAAGAAAAAAGAAAAAAAAAAACAACCTTTGTATACTGATATAAAATACTGGCATACCTCATTTTATTGCACTTTGCTGTATTGCGCTTCGTAGGTACTGAGATTTTTTACACATTGAAGGTGGGGGCAGTCCTGTGTTGGGCACGTCTCTTGGTGTTATTTTTCTCTTTTTTTTTTTCTTGGTGTTATTTTTCCAAAAGCATTTGCTCACTTCATGTCCCTGTGTGTCACATTTTGGTAATTCTCCCTATATTTCAAACTTTTTTTATTGTTATTTTATTTGTTATGGTGATCTGTGATCAGTGATTAAAGCCACTGAAATCTGAGATTGTGTATAATGTTATTATACACTCAATAGACTACAGTATAATGTAAACATTATTATGCACTGGGAAACCAGAAAATTCACTTGACTCGCTTTATTTTGGTATTTGCTTTGTTGTGGTGGTGTGGAACAGAACAAACAATATCTCCAAGGTATGCCTACAGGCATATCTTTTAAAGGGAACTCACAGAAACTAGGAATGTTGGTTGCATCTAGGGTAGCTAGAAGCTGACATAGGAAGAAGGAAGGCCTAGCTGACTAAGTGATCTTGGGGTCAAGAGTCTGAGCCCCATGTTGGGTGTAGAGATTACTAAAAAGAAATAAATAAACTTAAAAAAAGAGAGAAGGGGAGCATTTCATTTTATAACCATTTGTATCTTTCAGTTTTATACCATGTGAATGTAAAATCTATTTTAAAAGTTAATATTTTCTAATGAGCATAATAACAAAGATTTAAACATAAAATAAATAATTGGGGCGCCTGATTGGCTCAGTTGTTTAAGCATCCGACTCTTGGTCTCAGCTCATGACTCTTGCTCATGATCTCATGGTTCATGGGTTCAAGCCTCACACTGGGCTCCGCACTGCCAGTGCTGAGCCTGCTTGGGATTCTGTCTCTCCCTCTCTCTCTGCCCCTCCCCTGCTAGTGCTCTCTCTCAGTCTCTCTCAAAATAAATAAATAAATAATTTTTTTAAAAATTTTTTTTTAATGTTTTATTTATTTNTTAATGACATACAATATGTAATATATACAAAGGAACATGTGGAATATATGTAATTGTGAAACATGATAATAAAATTACTCCCCATGAATACACCAGTCTTCTTAAGAATGGGAGCATATACCTAGTACAGATGCTCCTGTGTGGAATCTGAACTTTTTTAAAAAAATGCTTTATTTATTTCTAGGAGAGAGAGAGAGAGACAGCGTGAGCAGGGGAGGGTCAGAGAGAGAGGGAGTCACAGACTGAAACAGGTTCCAGGCTCTGAGCTGTCAGTCAGCACAGAGCCCGACGCGGGGCTCGAACCCACTAACCGCTAGATCATGACCTAAGCGAAAGTCAGACGCTTAACCGACTAAGCCACCCAGGCGCCCCAATAAATAAATAAATAATTAACAATTGGATAATTCCAGGATAATTTGGTATTTTCCAGTTCTTCCTATCAGAAAGATAGGAAGTGTAGAAAGATAGAAAGATACTGAAAGAAAATGTAGAAAGGTAACAATTCTGAAAGAAAATGTTAGGAGCAAATGTAAATATCAGACCTTTCATTAGAATATGGTTGGGTGTAATATTTCCATTTACTCCTGAAATATTCCTGCATAATATTAATTTGGCATAGATATTACCTATGAAGCTGTAAGTAGATTCTTTAACTTTTCAAACAGTTTGACAATTTGAAAATTGTATGTTCAGTTTTTAGCAACTAATATCTTTCTCTCTCTTTCACTCACACCAAACACACACACACACACACACACACACAGAGTCTGTCTCTCTCTCTCCTTCTCTCTCTCTCTCCCTGGTACTTTTTTTTTGTATCAAGACACGAAGAACAGTTTTGGTGTTGTATTATTATTATTATGGATTAAGACAAAAACAGTTAAAAGATAGGGGAACTCTTTTTATGCCCTAAGGTTATCTGTTATCTGTATATTTGATCTGGAATGAGTTATATTCATGAAGTGGAAAAACAGTGATGATTGCTAAGCCATAAATACAAGTTCAGTGGTGGAGCACCTGGGTGGCTCAGTCAGTTAAGCATCCAAGTTCAGCTCAGGTTCCTGAGGTTCGTGGGTTTGAGCCCTGCATTGGGCTCTGTGCTGACAGCTCAGAGCCTGGAGCCTGTTTTGGATTCTGTGTCTCCCTCTGTCTCTGCTCCTCCCCTACTTGCTCTCTCTCTCTCCAATAAATAAATAAACAAACAAACATTGGTAAAAGTCCAGTGATATGTCAAAAACCTGTAGTTTTGAAACAAATTCAACTAACGTCATCTTGACTTTTCCCCTTCCCCCTATTAAAAAACAATTGTTTAAAACGTTCTGAATTATTATATTTTCTAATTTTCTTTTCCAGTTACCCTGCAGTTTGTGAATTCTTGCAGAACAATAATTTGTTATCAATAATCAGAGCCCATGAAGCCCAAGATGCTGGGTAAGTTAGATTTACACTATACCAAATATCACTGCGGGGTTTTTGCCTTTAGTATTAAGACAGACAGACTATTATTTCTCTTCCAGGTATCGAATGTACAGGAAGAGCCAAACAACAGGCTTTCCATCACTCATAACAATTTTCTCTGCCCCCAATTACCTAGATGTCTATAACAATAAAGGTAAAGGAGTCCAGCGATATTTGAGTTTGAATTTGTGAGTAAACGTGAGAGCTCTAGTTTAATCATGTGTGTGTGTAGTTTTAAAATATATACATTTTAAATAAAAAGAAAAGAGGTCTTAGTTGAAACAAAGGCCAAAAAGTGTACAATTTAGGCTACTGCTTGGTTTTCATTTCATAAGGAATATTGAGCTCTATAAATAAATAATAGGTCTGATTTGTATTCGTGAATCAAAATATAAGATGAATAAATTACTTTGGGTTCAAGTCAAAATAGTCACCATAAATTATTAGTTTTGGTGAATTTATTTGTAACAGTACCTCAATAAAATGTTACTGTTTGGTGTTTTAATGTGAATTATTAAGCTATTTTTGGTTTTCTTCAGGAATGGTACAGGCAGAGTGAATACCATAGAAAATTAAGAAGGATCATTTTAGTCCAATCCCTGCCAGAAACTAATAGTGTGACTTTAGGTCTGTCATGTAATTTTTCTAAACCCCTATTTCCCATACAAAAAAAAAGAGGATTAAATATACATATGCCTTCATCCAGAAATTCTCATTCTAAAACTTTATCCTATTGACATTTTTTTTTAAGTATGCCCAGTGTGGCGGGGCCTTGAACTCATGACCTTGAGATCAAGAGTCACATGCTCTACTGACTGAGCCAGCCAGGTGCCCTGAAATCTTTTTTTTTTTTAATTTTTAAATTAAATTAACTTTTAATTTTTAATTAAAATTAATTAAATTAATTTTTAAATTGTAAGCTTTGTATCAGGGCAGACTTCCTCTGTAATGTCCTCTGTGACACCCTCTGTAACTATTTTGTTGTTTATGAAGTATGGCTATAAAATAATAGGACTTTAATACAAACATGCCAGAGCGTATATACCCAGGTGAGTATTGTCCCTTCACAGTAGTTACCTTGGGAAGCTACACGCTTATTCCAACAATGCTGCCACTGCTCAAAACGTTTTTGGAACTCCTCTTTTGGCATTGCCTTCAGAGTCTGCGACACATTCTTTTGATTATCCTCAGTGATGGGAAACCTTCGTCCTTTGAGGGTGGATTTGATTTTTGGAACAGCCAAAAGTTATTCGGAGTCAAGACTGGTGAATAAGGTGAGTGATCAAGCTAGATGATACCATGTGGGTTCAGAAACAAGGTATGATTATAGGGTAATGAGACTGGTTTTTCTTGTGTTGCTTATAAAATGGGTCTGGAGGCAATTCCACAAGAGGAGTTCCAAAAGAGTTTTGAGTAATGGCAGTATCTTTGGATTAAACACACGGTAAGGCAGCAAGGTGTATTGGAAAGGGCACTGATAAGCTAAGAGTCAGAAAATCTAGTCTAGCCCTGCTTCACTTATCAATCCACGGTAAACATGACACTTAATTTCACATTTAACAAGATACTTAACTTCTCTGAGCCTCAGTGAATCTTTAAAATACCTGCCATATAGAGTTGTTGAAGATAAGTTGGAATAATAAAAATAAATATTAAAAAGCATCCGTGAACCTCTACATTGCTATAATACTATAACATTTTACAGTTGTTGTGCCTTGTATGACTACGTCAAAGGACCACACTCATCTCATATATAAGGTCTGGTGTGTTTGTAGTTGGTGGTTTCTTAAGTCTCATTACTTTATAGTCATACCTTGTATATGCAGGTGGGGAGTCAGGTTTAAAAGCGGTCCACAGTATACTCACTACGTAACCTGAGCCTGTGTAAAGGGAAACTATGGAATGGCACATCTCATTCCATCTGATTTGAATCCTTCATCTCAGTGTGTCCTTCAGTGGCTTCCGATTCATTTTTAAAAACACTTCTCTGGCTTAAGTTCTCTCCCAGCTGCATAGTTCTTTACATCTTGTCATTCTTTTCTGAGTCTTAGCTATCTTAGCTATCTAGCCACAACACTCAGCTTCTCCCTAACTCTGTTGTTTCTTATTTCCTTCTTCCTAATATGCTCAATATGTTAGAGACTTAGTTTTGTTCTGGTTTCTTCCATTATGAATGTTATGTGTTGCTTGTGTTGGTAACTTCTTCAAGGACACTTAGTGGCTATAGTCCTCATGTTTATGATGAAGACTGTCCCTTCTCCCTTTTTAAACCTCACTGGTAAGAGTGTCTCTTGACTGCATGGTGGATTTATCAGTGTGCATAACTGAAACATGCCACCCAAAACAGCAGTCACTTTCCTGGCTCACTGAACATCAGCTCATTTTTGGCCCATTTAACCTGGTATTGATCTTGATTATTCCTTTAGCAAACTTTTAAAGTCACAGTCCAGTTTACTGGAATATTCCTTTTACTTTGACATAATGGTAACTTTATCTTGAAACATTCTTATTTTCCTTGGTTGTTTCTCACACTTTTTTCTTAGGAAAAAAAAAAAGTGGCATCTGAACCAATGTCTGCTGGTACCTAATTACTCCCCACAGAAATACCTCTTTTCTTGAAAGACAAGACCTCTTGTCTTGCAAGACAATTCTCTCCCCCTTTTCTTCTTCTCTTTCTTCATCTGTTGCTTTTCTTTCTTGCATATTGGTACCAACAAGTAATTCTTAGTTCCAGCGATTATATGAAAGATCCTTAAGTAGTGATTTTTAAAGATTTCTATTCCTATTTTTTTTGTTTCCACTGGGAACATACCCAAAAGCAATTTTTTTCCTTTCATTTATAATTTTGCACTGTAAAGACCCACCTCTCACCTCTTTTTTTCTGTGTAGATTGAAGGAATTGTTGAATAAAATATATATGCATAATAAAATACATGTACATGAAAACATTGTATCCAGTGTTGGGTTTCTAAGAGCAAACAATCTTCCTTTCATGTATTTTCTTTATAATCCATGGCATACATTTTAGACATCCAGTAACTTAAATTTTAAGCACACCAGGCAATCATTTAATAAGCAAAGAAACAGGAATCAGGAAATGACCTGTATCTCATTTCTGGAGTACTTCATACCCGATTATATTTATGATCACAATAAGAGTAAAGAGAATAATGCCAAACAACATCACAGTGCTTGTGTTCATGGTGAAGCCCCGGAAATTGGATTTTAAAACTTAAAAAATATAAAGAAAATCAGTTTGGTACCAAAGTATGTGTACAAATACATGAACTGGTTAATTTAAACATTTATACAGTACTAGCAGTATACTGTGCTATAAGGAGAGATGGCTATTTTTTAATCCTCTAAATATATGTAGATTATTTAATTTACTTTTGAGCCTTGTAAATTGCTCGAAGTTCACTATCTGTATCCCCCACTATGAATTGATAATTGCTATGCTATAAACTCCCAGAGTTTATAAAATCTTGGCTCTGGATAATAACTAGCAAAATAGGCTGTGTTCATTTAATGAAAAATACTTGCCTTCAAAAGAGAGCTGTAATTGTAACCATTTGGCCTATAAATGGAAATTATGACAACATTTTTCTAATGTGGAACCTGAGATTTCTATAGATGGTTACTGTGCAGTGACCCTTTAAAGTTTCAGAGCTCAGTTTCTTTTGTACTTTTATTATATGAGATCTTCAGGTAACTTTGTTCCTTGGGGTAATTCTTAAAAGAATGCAGTGTATAAAAAGCTTTAAGATTTTCCATCTGCTCTTAAATACCGAATCCTGAACTTACAAATGGAGAGTAAGTTCCTGAGTTCTATTTAGTAGGTATGCAGCTGTATGAAACATGCCAGTTGCCATGTTATGTTCCTCTGTGCCAGATTTTCTTGCTTTTTCCTTTTTAGCTGCTGTGTTAAAATATGAAAACAATGTCATGAATATCAGGCAGTTTAACTGTTCTCCACACCCCTACTGGCTTCCAAACTTTATGGACGTTTTCACGTGGTCTTTGCCTTTTGTTGGGGAAAAAGGTAAGGAACTAAAGCATCTGGACCATAATTTGTCTTCATTAGTGATGGAGTACACTTTTGTATTTGCATGAGTCCCCCGATGGTTCAGAAATGTTTTTCTTAAAGTTTTTAGAAGTATTTTCAAATTTTCTTTGTTTTCTACAAAGGTTTTTAAATGGTACTTAGTTTTTAAATTGAAGTTCTAGTCGATTATGCTCTTCTTATTGTAAGTATCAACTTAAAATAGCTCTCCTACTATGATCAAGATGTTAAAATAACATAAGTCACTACACCATTCTCTCAGGGATTTCTTCAGTGATAAAGACATTTAAAAAGGAAATATTGTCCTTAGAATTTTATTTGTGCACCTATACAAATAAGCTACGCAAATATAAAACAAGTCTGTTGGACGTAGAGATGGTGACTTAATATCTTTGTAAAATGGGAAGAAATCATTTCATGTACGTATCAGTGAGGAAAGGTCTCTGGACAGCAGTCTCATGAAATCAAGTAATTAATGCAATAGAATCTTCAAGACTGGACTTTTATTGAAGCAAGTAATTTCCCCAAATTCTGTATAAACCAGAAGGTCTAAATTTAATGCTACTCTTTACAAATACTCTTAATGGCATAATGACTAGTCATTTTGTCTATGTTTATTTAACATGTATGTTTTCTTTAACATGTATGTTTAGACAGCCACATCATTGTAGAGAAAGTACCTTAATAATTGTATAAATATTGGGTTATTTTGTCTTCTCGTATAGTCACAGAGATGCTGGTTAACGTTCTCAACATATGCTCTGATGATGAATTGATTTCTGAAGATGAACTTGAAGGTAAACTTGCCTTTTTCTCATTTGAACTAGAAATGAAGAAGTTTTGGTTTTGGTTTTAGTTTGTTTTGAATAATTTTCTTTGTCTTACTAAAAAAGAATTATGTTCATTCCAGAAAAATGAAATTTGAAAAATACAGGAAACCATAAGTAAACAAAAAAGTTACTTATAATCCTGCCATCTCATAGATATCTGCTGTTTACATCTTGATGTAATATTGTGTTATCTTTTATCTTGGCATATATTTTCCCCGTTTTTTTCTTTTTAACAAAAATGAGGTCATATAATAGTATCACAAACATTTACAGTGTTTTAAAAAATGTTTATCGTGAGAAAGAGGGTGCGTGCGCGAGCAGGGGAGGGACAGAGAGGGGGAGGGAGAGAATCCTAAGCAGGCTTTGCACTGTACATGCAGAGCACAGTGTGGGGCTCGAACTCAACAAAACATGAGATCACGACCTGAGCTAAAATCAAGAGTCAAAACGCATAACTGACTGAGCCACCTAGGTGCCGCTACAGTTTTTTGTTGTTTTGTTTTTTTTACATTTTTTAAAGTAGTTTATTCATTTTTGAGACAGAGAGAGACAGAGCATGAGTGGGGGAGAGTCAGAGAGAGAGGGAGACACAGAATCCAAAATAGGCTCCAGACTCTGAGCTGTCAACACAGAGCCTGATGTGGGGCTCGAACCCATGAACCATGAGATCTGACCTGAGCCGTAGTCAGATGCTTAACTGACTGAGCCACTCAGGCACCACCCCCCCACAGTTTTTTTTATAGACTGATTTTTTATTTTATTTTATTTTTATTTATTTCTAGGAGAGAGAGAGAGAGAGAGAG